ATTGTTATTACAGGGCACAGCCCTCTAATGGGCAAATGGCCTTGAGCTATATAAGAAAGATAACCAAACTTGAACCAGCCAACAGCATTCCTCCATGGTTTCTGCTAAAGTTCCTATTTCCATGTTCCTTCCTTGGATTCCTGCCCTGACATTGTAAATTACAAAAAAGATAAATCCTTTCCTCCCCAAATTGCTTTGGTCTGTGTTTCATCATGGCATTAGAGTGTAAACTAGCACATACAGCTTCTGAGCCTTCTTGGAGGCTTGGATGTGGTGTGTGCTTTGACTGGTCTCCTGTAATCCCCTTGTACTTTGTCAGGAATCTATTCCTTTGCCAAACACTTTCAGTTTGTTTTCTGGTTTTAACTTTTAGAGAACAAAGCAGTTGCTTGTGTAAATGTCTTTACTTTCCTTAGGTAACCGTTGTCTTTTTCCACTTGACTGTCCTGTCTAAGGATGTTAGGAACTTCTAGTCTGCTTCCAGAATGCATGATAAAGAGCCTTTACATTGTCATGTGCAACCCCATCACGAAGATGCCTCTCCAGTCTGGAATATAAGGTCAAAATGTCCCCTCAGTGCAGACACATGCTTTCCTATAGCTTCTCTTAACTACCTTTCAGGAAATACTATTTAGTATGGACTCAGAAACGACATGGGATAGTGAAGGGTAGAAATCTATTAATGTGAAGTAATATGTCTCCTAATTTCCACCGAAGTGCTCAGTGCTCACCCTCCCCACATCAGTTGTCCTCCTGAGATCCACTCATGCAGTCTTAGCTCTAGAGCAGCCTTGTCACTTTCCTTTGATCATATCCCACAGTATTGATCACATGGTAATGCAAAGATTCAGAGCCAATGTTGAGACGAGTCCTTACCCATTCTGCCATGCCTGTGAAGATAAGGATATAGCTGTGGGAGACAAATCTGGAGATTGCACTTAATCTTGTTTTCTCATAGTGAAGTACATCAAGTAGTTAAAACTCTTTTTTTTCCCCTAAAAATATTAGAAATAGGTTCTGTCTTTAATTTCTCATATAAGGCTGAAAACGTTTCTTAAAAGTGTTTCATCTATTATAACAAGAGACAGAACCATTGCCTTAGCAGAATGTGAGCCTTTTCAGGAGGAATTTTATCCTCACATTTGAGGTGTAACCTTGGCTTAGGCTCAGATGATAACTTGAAATGAACTCTCCCAGATTGCAGCCTGTGCTGCCTGAACGCAGCAGGGTACCAGAAGGGTGATGACTGCTGGGACAGGATCCCAGATGCTCCTTTGGGATGGATTCTTTCCCCCTCCTTCCCCATTTCCACGGCTGTCCAAGTGGGTGGCATTTCAAGTGCATATTTTAGAAAATGACCATGCGCATTCATACTTTCTCAGATACACCTATTAGATTATTTTGTTAATGTAATTCTCGGTTTTATCATCTATTACAATATGGCTGGTGGAATGTTGCTTATGTTTTGGCTCAACATGCAACATTAGCAATACGGAACAAATAGATTTAAAAATTATTCTCCACATTAGGCTTCCTTGGCCTCCCTAAAAGCTGGCACAAATGAAGATTGAGAATTCTGGGAATGGAAAAGACTTGGCATTTCCTAAGCATTTGAGAAGCAGAAACATTCTGAATTGAAACTCAGTAGCCACAAAAGGTACAACAGACAGCAGGCAGGGATACAACTAATGACTCACTTGTATTTAACTTACTGTGACTCATACCTCGCTTTGATTGCTCAGGTACTATGTAACTAGCCTCAGTGGGAATAAAGATCACTTGGTTGCTGCAAGAACAAAGACAGAATGTGGAAGATACCTTCTACCTCCCAAAGTTTACAACACACTTCCAGAAATATAATTATTTGAATTAACTAAAAAGTACAGTTCCATTGTTAGTAATAAATACTTTAACATAAAATTTTGTAATTAATTATACATCACCACATTGTACACTGAAAAAGACTTTCAAAATCTATCACGTGGAAAATCATCATTATTATCATCACCTACTTCAAAGAAGAGAATTGTGTAAATTGATGTATTCAGAAAGACATCATAAGGAAATAAAGATTTGAACTAGGTCCTTGATAACCAGGTAAGATGATATCAAAGGCAGACTGATGTGTTAGAACAAATGGAATATAGGATCAAAAGACTGAACACAAGCCCTTCTGCTTATTAGTAGTTGTGTTACTATTGATCCACTTAGTTGTCTTCTACCATGAAGTTTCTTTACCTGGAAAGGTTTAAGATAGAAGCTGCTTAAACAATTGGTACATATTGTCTTAGTCTTTATCATCAATACCAGTCGAGATGTGTATGTGTTTTGGGTGCATAGTCGTGTGTGCACATGTGTGTTTGTGCTCATGTGAACACTAACTCCAAGTTCAGTTCACAAGTATAGCATTCTCATAATGTATAAAGCAGAGCGCGCTTACGACCCTGCATTCCCCTGGGATCAACAGCAAGCGTATTTCTGAGGACATCCAGCCATCTGAAGAGTGTGATCACCACCAAGCCCATCATGAGAAGGCCTACCAAAGGAAAGAGGAGCTGAATTAGAAGGTACAGGTGACATAATCTCCCTGACTCCTTTCTCTCCCTTTTTTAGTATTTCTTTCTCTCCTATACTAACGAATCTCCCAGTGACCCATGCCTCCTGTTTCCTGTTAGTTCTGACCAAGCCTTGGGAGGTGCAGTCAGCCTTGTCTTTTCTCTCCTGGTTCCTGCCTCATGGCCATCCTCTGCTCTGTTTTCTCATGGTAGCAAAGGTGAGAAACTGCAGATTGTTGTAGATGTGTCCTGCAGAGGATAGAGTGTGCCCAGTGTGCCGCAGAGAGCACAGAAGTGGGGGAGTTTGGGGTATCTCAGTTCTCTGACACTCACATAGGGTTGTTTTCTCTGTACTCTTGTTTTCAAGGAGAAGGATCTGGGATTTACAGTAACAAAGAAGGAATAGAATATTTTGATTTCATTACCATAAAGAGAATAGGAAAGAAGAGAACAAAGGGAGGACAAAAGGAGTGGGGAAAGAAGGAACAAAGGGATTGAAAGGTGACAGGAGCAGACAGGACTCCCAGCTGCCCTGTAGACTCCTAAGGCCAAATGGGCAGTGCTGGGATTATTATCTCAAGTTTCCCTTGTTTGAATTTTGTCTATGCCCTTGCAGAAGTGACTCAATTCATCTCATTCTTCTTTTCACTCAGAAAATACTATTTTATTTCTGTTAGGTCTCAAAGAAACCTCAGAACAAATGGCTGAGGTGGCTATTAACATATCAAAGAGGACACAGGCCAGCTCCCCCAGCCTCACTCAGTACCTGTGTCTCCTCCCAGCACATCTCACCCCACTCCCTATTCTAACCTCCCCAGCCCAGAGACTGGGCTAGGCCCCTTACCCTAGCTTCTCTTCCCTGTATAAACCAGTCATTTTTGGCAAGCAGGTCTCTTGGTCTCCTGGCTCACTCCTGGCCTCTTGGCTTCTGGTACACACACATATTCTCATGGCTGGTTCAGTCCGGTCCCTTCCAGATGTCTCTGTCTGTGTTCTTCTTCATATCTAGAAAATCCTTCTCCTCCACCACACCTAGAAGCAGCCATTTCACTCATTTCTTTCTTTCGGTTTCTTTGTGGAATTGTCTAGTTGTCCAAGGCTTTCAATTTCATTTTTTTTTCTTATGGGATTGAGTCTATAGCTTTATGGATTGCAGGCACCCAGGCAAGTGCTCTTGTGGGGCTCCATTCTCAACCTGGGTTTGTGAAGACTGGTTGTTGTTGTGTAGCACACGCTAGCATAGATTCCCCAAGTCCTTGTGCATCATAAACCTGGCAAATATTTTTTTAAATAGTTTTGGCTTCTAGGTTTTCTTGTGTCTCTGGTAATTCAGCTTTTCATTTCATGGTGCTTACTCATTAACTGGGTCACAGGAGATCCCGCCCAATTTTTTTTCTTTCATGGAAAACCAGCAAGACTGAAGTCAAAGTATACAGGACAGGATCCAGTGCTGGCAGAAGACCCCTATTCTCCTGGAAACTAAGTGTTATTGAAAGGTATGAGATGTCAGAAGATTCCTATGCTCAAACTTTTCATACCATGGCTATGTGTCACCAACATGTACTTGATGAGTGACCTAGAAAGTACAGAGAGATTTTGAGGATATTTGCGTGCTGTTGAATGAACTTGTCGGAAATGAGTATTTTGAATAGGAATCTGTGGCACTGACAACCTTTTCCTACAAATCCCTTACTAGGAACAGAATTGTGCCCCTTGAACTAATGGAAAATCACAGTGTGGTGGGGGCTGCAAACTGTCTGAGGTCACAAAGTAACATGCTGATGAAGCAGGTCCTACCTTACTGGTATCCAGGACTCTATGCTGCCAGTCAGCTAGAAAACACTTCTATTAACAAGAAAAGTCAAGACTCTTTTGTCTTGTGTGATTTGTCATTGAAGGTCCTTGCCACTCTGGAGATAGGTAGATCATAAATCAGTAATTCTTCCATATGTCTAAAAAGGATCATGTGACCATGGAACTGCCATATTTAATATAACAATATCTTCTCTTTTCCACCCAAGGAGACATTGTGACTTCGGATTCTCACAGAATGGACCCACCATAGGATCAGCCTCATAAGCCCTGGATTCCATGTTCCCTCACAAGTTATGGAGCCACAGAGATTGTATGTTTAGGTTTTTTTTAATTCTTCAGAGAATTTAATCAGAGAGGACAAGCAGAATCTGAGAGCTTGGTTTCAGAGGGGTGTGAGAAGACTTAGTCATTCAGTTCCCAGTGCTGACTCACTACTGCTTCCTCCCAGACCAGGCTGCTAGTGAGCAAACCTTCCTCAAAATAGAAACCAGAAGTCACTAGACTGAGTGGTCCTCCTCCAGATCAGGATTTGTGAAGCTGTCTAAGGTAAAGGAGGTTGTGGAACTTTTTCAATAGCGATAAAAATAAAGAGAAAAATGATTTACCTGTAATAGATTTTATTTGCAAATTTCCAAATTTGACTGCGTGCTTTCCATTCATCAGGGTTGAGAGTCCCAAAACTCTGTCTTTTTGTGTTTTCCCCCTGCCTTTTGTTCTTCCTTCTCCCCATCTTGTTCCTTAGAGCTATATGTATCTCTGAACCTGAAAATTCTGGTTAGCCGTGGTTTAGGGTACACGTCTTGGCTTATCATCAATATCCACACTCTCTGTTCTGAGGTGCTGGAACACTTCCTAAGAGCTGAGAGTGCATGGACTAACAATTATATTTCAAGCTGCATTTAATGTTGAAGTATGAGGCAACAAATTGATCTTAGATGTCTCCAGTCAAGCGTGGCTTCACCTCTGACTCTGGAAAGAGCTGCTGCAGAGCGGTTGCGCACTTGCAAAATAAATAAAAGGGGGAGAGTCCCCATCCATACTAAAACAAAGAAGAAAAAGCAGCAACATTTTCCCCATGTATTTGGAGTGTTTGCTTCCGAGAAGGCACTGGAAGCAGCACCGAGACATACCTAACAACCTGTGCAAACCCACCCAGCCTGTGTCAGCTCCCGCCTAAAGATGCCTATCCAGAGTTCTGCTTGGTCATCTGACGGAAAGCATAATACATTCAAATGTGTGCACACAAAAGCATCTAGCAAGGTGCTTACTCAATGTCTAAGAATTACCTGCATTTGGCTATTTATTGAACCTCTACTTAATAATAGCTCTTGAACAAAGGAGGAAAACTGCGTCTCTTTGAGAACATCAAATACCCTGCAATATTCAAAGCTTCTCTGATGGTTTCTTTGAAGAAAAGAAGTAGGATTCTTGGTTTATTTGAGAGGAAGTGATAGCTTCCAAAGACAACTTACAAGTCCAGGGGTGAAGCTTTTTTTCTCTTTTAATTGCTGAAATCAAGAACAGAATTCAATTATAATTTTGAAAAGTGTAGACTAGAATACTTGGAAGAAAAAAAACAAGAAAGAAGAACAGGGAGAAAATTGTGGCACCAAAAATAACATTTCCTCCCAAGTTATCAATTAAACTCAAACATAATTTACAGAATACTTGAAGAACACATAACAGAAGAAGATACTAGAGATACTATTTCAAATATCCCCTCCCCTTTTGTAAAGTAAACAGGACTCCATTGCAAGGTTCTTATTGTGAGATGTTTCCGGAGCCCTGCAACACTGTCTCAAATCCATAATTGACAATTAAAGTTCCCAATTTATTCCATCATATCTTATATCAGATTAGACTATTAGGATATTGAGTTAGAATGTGGGATATCTCTTTCTAAACATCGAAACAAGGATTCCTATTTTCTTTGCTTCCAGCAAAACAAAGATCAGCTCTTTCTCAAAAGTTGCAGCAGCATGTGTGTGAAAGCTGAGCTCTTGGAGCCATGCTCCCCAGATTGCCTGCTATCCCAGGACTTGCTGCTGTGTGGCGATCGTCCCCTTCAAATGAGCAGGCTCTTGTTCTGGCTCCTCTGCTTCTGCCTTGTTGCTTGAAATGATTCTCTGGCTGTCACTGTAACAAACAGTTCTAATTGCTAGTTGACTATTAGGGTAGAAATTGCAGCAGTCTGCAGTTGAAGGCTTTCACTCTGGACACTGGTGGCAAACAGTGCTTTTCCTGAAAGAAGAAGGAAGACGGTCTTGAAGAAACAAAGTAGTAAATGATAAAGCATTTTCCAAGAAGCAGAATTCCAAACCACTTTCCGGAAGGCTTTAGTCTAACCTGATTGTAATGTGTTTTTCTTTATGCAGGAACAGAAGCGCTGGCAGGTTTTCTTGGGTTCTTGGTAGAGATGGTAGTGGATGGCATTTGCTTTTGTCTGTGAAATGGTACAGAGTTGGCAATGATTTGAAATGGTAAACTCCAATTTATTTTCATGGCAATCAGTGAGATGTGTCCCTGGAGATGGGCATACAATTGCAGGTGAATTGGCCTCCATCTCCCCTACTTTACATTAGGAAGATTGAATTCTCATTTTGAGAACTACTGCAAAATTCCCAAATTCTGAAAAATGCCTGAATAACCTGTGGGGTCTAAAATCGTCTGTGTGCTACTGAAGAAACCTCTATGATAGGAGAAGGGGAATGAGGAGCCTATACTGTCCGATTTTACTACCATGACAGAATTCAGGTTACAAAAGGCAATGTCTAATTTGGGGGATTTAATCAGATACCAAGCTTCAAGGACAGCAGCTGCTGTTCTGTTAGCTTGGATAAAATTATAGGGCCTATCAGTTCTTATGCTTCAGGGCACAATGTGATCACCAGCTGAGGTCAGGAGGAAATGTTCCCACCAGCAGTCTTCCACGGTTATATCCATTAGAAGAGATTTAACACCTACCCCTAAAACATCTGATGTGACTCATTACCAAGTAACACAAGCAGGCAGCATGCCCTTATCCTAATAACTAGGTCTTTGCACTCAGGGAGTTGGAGTGCATGGAGACGAGCCTTGATCTGATGCCCAGGTCTTAGGTGAGTTCTTAATGGACCAATGGACCATAGGAGATGATGCTCAGCTGGTGAACTGGGTCTTCAGATTCCTTTTGTTTTAAATATTTGTGTAATTTGTAAGTCACAGTCTCTACCTTTGTTGGATAGTCACACTTGATTATATGAGCAGAGTGTTCTAGAAAGGGTGACACCATTGTTTACCCTTGGTGTGTAATGCACACTACAAACCCAATAGCTTAAAGTAGCACACATCCAGTGTCCCTGCATTATTTGGAACCATCTTGGCACAGGTTAGCTGAAATCCCTGCTTGGGGTCTTGTAAGGTGCTAATCTAGTTGTCAGCTGGGGATACAATTCTTATTTGAGGAGATAAATCCTCTTCCGACCTTCCTGTTTACTGGTAGGTTCTCCTGCCCTGCAGTGATGAGACTGGGGGCCCCACTGTTTTCCTAGCTGTGTATTACCCAGAGATCACATTCAGTTCCTTAAAAGTCACCCACAATTCATGGCCTATGCATGAGAAGCACAGGAGTTTTTCCCTGGCATTCTGTGACATGTTCTTCTACAAGTGAGAAGTACAAGTAGAAATGACATACTCTCAGTTTCTTCACACTTCCAAGGGGAGAGAGGTGTATGCTCCCTAGAGGTAGAAATGTGGGGACCGTCTTACAATTGTGTCTAAAGCAGGACTTTGCTGACAATATCACTACCGAGAAATCCTATCTGATTTGGCTGCTCATACCAGCCATTTTAGGTATGAGATGGGAATAGCAATTTTCCCATTTTCTTTTAATCTATTAATAACTATCTGCAAGGGAGGACAGATAACTCGAAAAAGCCCCAAAGAACGGACATGAGAGGCATCTGGTTCAGTCACCTTTGAAGCAGATAAAGAAACTAAGAACCAAAAACTTAGCTCCTTTGACAAATTCGTGGGGTCACTGAAATCCAGCATGGAAGTGCAGCTCTCTATATGTTTAAACATTGTCCTGTTTCCCACCATCAAGTCTGTGCCCACTTTGCAGAGGTTGCTCTCACTCCTGTAGTCCGAAGTGTCCTCAGACTTTGTGAGACCTGTGTACATTTCTATCCAATGACACAAACGGCTTCTGACTGATGATAGACTTGTCCCTCTGAGACTAGAGGCAGATGACACTTTGAGTCTAACTTGGTAAGATTGTAATGGTGATGGTAACATCATGAACATAAACACTGGAATAAGAAATGAATGAGTGGATTCCTATGCTCCAGAGAGCAAAGAAAAAGGAAAGAAGGATGTGCATTATGTGATTGTCAAGTGTGTGTGTGTGTGTGTGTGTGTGTGTGTGTGTGTGTGTGTGTGTGTGTTGAGTTTTCCTGTGTATGGAGGTGCATAGTATATGTGGTTATGTGCTGTTTGTGGAGTGGAATGTATGTATATCTGGGTTTATGTGATGTGTAATGTGTATACATGTGTTGTGTGTGTGTGGTATGCAGTTTTGTGTAGAGTGTGTAGTGCAATGTGCAGTTTGGATGTTGTATTGTGTGTTCTGTGTATTATATATGTGTGCCATGTGTATTATTTTGTACCATGGTATATGTGTGTCTAGGTATGTGTTTTGTGCTTCTGTATGGATGTTTGTATAATGTGATATATGTGTATATATATGTCTACTCTGTGTGTGTAGTGTTCTGTGTGAGTTTCTAGGTATGAGGTGATTGTTTATAGTATAGTATGTATGTTTTAATATGTGCTCTGTATGTGTGATGTGTCTGTCTAGGTGTATGCTGTGTGTGTAGTGTGGCATATGTGTCTAAGTATGTGTTGCATGATGTATATATGTACATGCATATGTATATATTTATGTATATTGTGTTTATCAAAGTGTGTACTCTGTGTGTGCATAGTGTGTGTCTAGAAGTATATGCTGTGTGTATATATAAGTTTGTACTGTTTGTGTAGTGCGTGTCTAGGTGTTTGCTGTGTGCATGTGTATATCTATGTGTGTTCTGTTTGTGTAGTGTGTGCATCTAATTGCACTCTCTGCATGCGCAGGTATGTGCTGTGTACAGTGTGTGTCTAAGTTTATGCTGTGTGTATGTATCTTGGTGTGTGCTTGTATGTAGTGCATGTCCAAATGTCTGCTGTGTGTTTGTCTAGATGTGTACTCGATGTGCTGTGTGTGTCTAAGTGTATGTTGTGTGCCTATGTCCCTTGGTCCTGGTGTTTATCCCAGAGGCAGGGATAGCTGCCAGGCCCACGCTGTAGAAGAGAATGTCAGAATTTTACCTGCAGTCACCTGCTCCCTGCCCTTTCAGTCCCACACTTGTTTCGCCTCTTCCCAGATATTATGTCATCAGCACTCCCTTAACCAACTTCTCATTGGTGAGTAGACACTTTCTGTTGGCTGGCTGAGTTTAATTACAGCTCTGCTGCTTTGTGTATTGGCCAGGGAGAGCCCTCAAAGCCAGAAATGCCTTGGTCAGTTAGGGAATCTTGGGCTCTGCTGAAATCACTCCTCATTCTGCTAGAAGTGACAAGCAAAGGGTGGCTCTGCCAGTTTCGGAATCAAGGCAGACATTTACACAATGCGGCGTCTCAGTGTCTCACATGAGTAAGAATTCTGATTAAGGTAACACCTGCCAGTGCCCGAGAATGGAAACGCAGGGACTGGACCAGGAGGCCAGCCCTGTGAAAGGCAATGGTGGAGGGGAGCCTCCTCCAGTCAGTGTTCCCGGAGGGATGCTGAGTGTGTCCTCGATTTTTGTCTTGGAGCCAGGACTCTGGATTTAACAGTTGTGGCTGAAAGGGTGAGGAGGGGAGAAAACAGTGTGTCTGAAATCCCTCACTAAGAAACAAGACGCTATGGTTTCTGTGCTGCTCTTACCATGTCAGGTTCCCTCTCCTTAAATGTGTCATTACTTCAAACCCTGTCACAGGGCCCATGCAAATCTGTTATCGTCACCTTGGACAGGGAGTGGCTGTCACCTGCGTCTGAACTGCATGTAAAGATGTCCATACTTCTAAGGAATTTTAGTATTTTAAACAAAATGTCATTTTCACCTGGAGCTTAGCAGTTTATATATCCACCATGCACCCTGCCCTCCACTAAACCATTACGTTAGTTATTCCTATGAGTCATATAAAAATTAACATACTGAGAAGCATTTTCCTTCTGTTGACAGCACAGTCAGCCAGTTCTCTTCTGGATCTGCGTCAGGGACACTCATGGTGATCAAACTCGCAGTGAGTCTCCCTCCTAGCACTAGAATTGTTTGTTTTATTTGTATTTAATTTTCCCACATGCTATTTCCAGACATGTCAACACTTACTAAGGTAAAAACTTCACTCCATGGATTTCTGGTCCTCCTACAAACTCTAGCACAGCATGGATGCTGAAAAGGAACGGACTCCCCTGAACCTGTCAAATGGAAGCAGACTAGAAATAAGCTCCCCCGAGCAGTCACCAACCTTTGCAGAGCTGCGGTTTCCATCCTCTTGCTCCTCGTCCCTTCTGCTCTTCCTGTTGGCCTCCTTCGCCTGCTTGTGTAACCTTGGGCTTATTATATGCGACTGGATTGGCTTACCTTGAACTAAATTTGATAACACTAATCAGCTGCCACTCCATCCTGGCATAGCCAGGCATCCACCATTTAAAATAAACAAAAACGTGAATAGATCTAAGCAGCCTTTGGGTCTAAAAGAAAACTGATAAGCCTTTTCTATGTTCATATAACTCACGGCTGAATGTTCTTTTCAAGAAGAATCCTGCAATTTATTAAATAATCCAATTTGAGGGATGACCCAAGAATTCACTCTCTAAAAAGATTTTTGCTGTCCAGTCTTTCTACTGTCTAGTCTTTCTGAAATGAATAATCATTTCCCAATATTTTGCTCTTCAGAAATTTTACATAGCAACCCTCAGCTAGACATACCTGTAACAAGCAGCTGCCTGGTGTCGTTTCATTTGTACTGTCTTCCAACATGCCAGCAACCAATACCTGGGCCAGCTCTCCAGTCAAATATACCTTAAGTTTTAATGGTTACCATGGCAATGAGAGAAGGCATTACAAAATGCACAAGCTGTTAACATGTTGCAGAAGCCAAAGGAAAGAGCTAAGAATAAACTTCTACAAATTCCAGATCATACTACATTTGAGGAAAATCACTGCTAAACCTACGTGGTGTCCCAGGGAAGCAGCTTGTTAATCTCAGCTCAAAGCTACCCCCCCCCTTCCATCACCCCCTCCCTCCATGCTTACTGTATCAAGGCTGGGCCACCTCCCTGTTGAGGACTAGTGAGCATGTCAGAATGAGGAGGGGTGTAATGTTTGGAGGAAGTGGGGATGAAAGCTGAGGGAATAAAGAGTTACACTTCGAATCTCAGCTCTTTCATCAACTAGAAAGCAAGCCTGCATGTTTTCTAACAGGGATGACAGAGGAGAGAACTTAACTGAATCTAATTTAGATAAATCTAAATTTCAGTAGGTTAAAACATCACTGTAGCTCTAGATAGAGGAGATGAATGTCTCCTTTACTTTCAATTTTTCAGAGAAAAGCCTAAAATTTGGGCAATGAGGAAACAGAACACATCCACCCATATAATCCTCTTCCCAGGCATGAGGTACTGTTTGCTGAGTAAAAGGTCTTCCAGAACAAAGCAAGCAGGCAGGAATTGTCCTTGGTTTGAGACTAGGAAACCAGCCAGAGAAACAAGGAGTAATGGGATAGCATTGACACAGAGGTTTGCTGATTCTAGGATCAAGACAGCTGTACTAGAGTTGGAGTTCTTTGCTCATTGATTTGCAGAGGTGGACACAAGCAGAGGATGGAAGAGTTAATGAGAGTGACAAAGCATTTGGCTAGATAATAAAATGCAAGTCTGATTTATATTGCTTCAGTGAGGGCATAGTCTGATTTGTCAGCTGGTTCCCCTACACAGGGTGGTGCAAGGCTGCCATTCTGACCTTCAGACTCCTTTAGCCCATTTCTCTTGAAGGAGCGCTCTCATCTCTGCACACAGTCCTGCCCTGACTCTGCAGTATCATCTCTACACTGTGCAGTTCCCAGAGGCCTACAGGTCTAATCACTGTTTCTGTCCCCATTTTCTTGAACTGATTCTTGCTTTGGGAAGAGCTGCTTCCACACTGTGATCCGATTCTGACTCTCTCTGTCCTTTAAACGCATGGTGCACTTGAGAGTGTCCAGGCTTGCCTGGCACCTGTTATTTTCAATTCTCCCCATATCATCACTTCTGCTAGACTTTAATGACCCAGCTAAATTCATGACATCACTGTCAGGGCTTCCTCAATGTCTCAACATCTCATGTGTTTCAGGGTGTTTTATAGCCATCAAGCAAGCTCAATGTCCTAGAACTTCTCCCTCCTTTCCCATCTGATTTTTAATTTTACTTCCTCAGTTAGATTTTAGAGTCTTTTATAACTTGGCTTTATCTTATTTTTGCAATGTTCACTATACTTAAAACACCATAGTGTTCATGCTAAGTACTAATAAAGGCCAATGAGTTGACTTCTGTTTGAATCCCTAAAGGCCATGTTCTCCAGTGACACAGTATGTCTTGAAATTGTATTTTAAGACCTGTTGTAAACTCTGGACTCAAGTTATAGAGGTATAGTAAATCAGGAAGATGTCCAGTGGGAGGTAAAGATGATGTTCTTTTTGCCAGTGATTCATAGAAGTACAGAGATTGGGGCAGGCAGGAGTCAGTAGTTCTCCCCAAGTCCTTTTCAAAAGGGAAGGTCATCATGATAGTGAGGTACCTAAGGCCACACGTGCAATTCCATCAAGAAGAGAAAACAAGGTACATGAATCTCTCCCCTGGAACCTGTTTGGATGTCATTCAGTGAACCACCACAGTGTGCTCTTATTTTTCTAGAGGTTTCTGTAAGAGATTTTGTACACAATCAGAATATGTAATATGATCTGTTTATTTATTTTTTTAGGGTATACACTTTTGCATTTTAAGAACATCCTTGTTTAGAAACAGATAATATCTTCTGGCTGTAATATCACTTCAGCTATAATATATGTTAGACCATCTCATTCTTAGATGATATCAATTTGCTCATTATTGTTCAATTGCCTTAAATGTGTGGGTTCCAAAATGAAGTAAATATTTTATCTGCTGAAAAGAAGCTCTCTGATCCGTCAGATAGATGACTGGGGCAGGAGCATATATGAGTCAGAACTTTTACAAAGACCATAGGAAGGGTGTGGAAACATAAGAGAGATCTCTTGGGACACAGGTAAGAATTCTTCAGAGTTCCACACAACATATACAGTGGGTCAGATATCAGGAAGAATAATCTGAAGACTATGAAATGAAATTATTTCCTGACAGCAGTGAAAGCCAAGGTAAAGCCATTTTCCAGAAAAGGCAAATAGGAACTTTCACTAATGATAAAATTCCATGAAAGAAATGTAGTCCCTTTTAAGTGAGTATAGGCAATGAGACTACTGTATCTTACAGGACAGCCTGTATGTGAAAGGCTGAACTTATCATAGTCATACTGCAGAGAAGACTGCAGTGCACTAAGTCACAGGAGAAGACCTGCTGTCCACACAGCACTGCATACACAAAAAGTACTGCTGAAGAACTACAGGTAGCCACTCTATCCTCACAGAACTTTCCAGCCTGCACGTAACTGAATGATGTGTAAATCTTCCGAACAATTTGAGCAAAGTTTGGATCTGGCACTTAATTTCAGAATATGATTTGGACTTCTAAACTCTAACTCCTTCTGGAATTAGTGACACATTTAATGCAACTACATTGAATCATAGAGCAAAGGAGAAATACAGGTACTAACTGAAAGGTTCCTAACTTGCATTCATCCAATTTTACTTTCTGTCCACTAATTTATTTGACATTGGCATAAAGATAGATCAAGGAAGAGATTTTGATATTCACTCTATTAGAAAGATAGTCAGATATATATTCAAAATGTCATGGAGAAGTGGGGTCTTGTCACTCCATTGTTAAAGGCAGAAGACCTCATAGGAGGCTCACAAACACAACCAACTGAGCTTCACTTTCTTTTTCTACCAAGAACTATTTGAGTAACTCACACAAGCTGCTGCAATTCTCAGATACTCTTTATTTCCTTTCTGTAAGTGAGAAGACAATCACTTTATTCAGAGGCTTGTAGAGTGAAGAATCTGCAAGGTCATCCCTAGATACTCATATTATCACTGTCCACTAGGAAGGACAATACATAATTTATCAGGTGATTTTCATATATCCATGCATATTTTATTTTCCCATCCAAACACATTTGAGAAGAACCTAGGGTAGGCATATTATTGATAAACAAATCAACCGAGTTTCAGGAAGATGAAATGAGTGTCTCACATACCCCAAGGCAGCAGTTTAGAAAGAATTACTACATTATGTTTCTGCTATATGAGTAAAACAATTACTCCTTCAGCATTTGCTAAACAATAACATCACTCCAAATGCAAGACCTTTGACAGACACCCCCAGGGTTACTGGCAAGCTACGATGCACCCTGTGGAGCAGCCAAGTTCCTGCAGCATCCTGTGGAAGTCTTTGTCCTCCCTCTTCTACCTGATAAACTCAGAAGGCTCTGTGACCTAGAATAACTTGATTTTAATGTAGAGGGCTGGAGGCTTAAGTGTGCGAATAGGGAGCAGAATGCTGTCAACTTCTGACCTGACTACAAGCAAGCCTTTGCTGGTGAGATCCTTCAGTGAACACTGAATCAGCAAGACCCTGACAGATCACAAGCCTCAACGTTTGGAAAGTTTCTATATTGCCCACTGGGCCTCGCTCACCCATCCTTTAGCAAGCTGGGCTTTCATTGCTGGTCCCATCTTCTTCATTCCTATACCACACCCCCAGCATCAAGCCCAGGATAGCAATCCCAGTACTGTCTTCAGCTACCCAAGGAAAAGGGTTCCTCTCAGAAGCCAGAGCCAGCCATCTCTCCCTCAGATGGAGTCAGTGCACATTCTTCTCACACTGCTTTCAGCCTCCCTCGATTTGGAATGCATTATATAAAAGCACATGCTTTTTTTTGGCAACTTTGGTTAATCTACTTCTAAAGGGGAGATTGAAACTCTAACAAGGTACAAAAAAGATTGCTGAAATGTTTCTGCATCTATTATGAAGCAGATTCCATGCCCCCCATCCCCTGCTCTCCTTCATTTTCTTATACGTGCAGATATTTGTCTTATAAATACCACTGTGGATATAAATCATTTAATTAAGAATCTGAGCCACCTAACTGGAGAACAGAGGGGAATATCAAATGACACAGGATATAGAAACCATCTGCATGGCAGAAATGGTACACGTCTGTTTCCAAAAAGAGGCAAGAAGTCACAATTCTTATCGTACAATGATAAAATAGATTTCCACTGGGGCAGATGTTGCTTTGAAAGGTTGCTCATGGTTTTAGAAAATGCAGCTTAGTAGACAAAAGCTTCCCAGGGATGTGTCCATATGCTTTGATGAAGCTTGCCATTAGTCAGAACTTTGGTATCTTTCACAAACTTCCTTGCAGAAGAACTCAAGGGAGCAGGGGTTTATTTTGTTTCAGATTGTTCAGTGTTCAATAGCTGGGTCTCTGTGTGTGGTTCTTAGGGGAGCGGGGAATCACCATAGTGACACTGTGTGCAGTGGGGCAAAGCCTCATGTGGAAGGAAACTGTGGAACAAGGAGTCATGGGGGAGGAGACCCTGGAGCAGAGTCTTAGGTGAAGGTCACAAGGAGACAGAGCGTCTTTGGGAAGGGCAACTTGGGGCACAGTAGTGCAACTCCCTGGTGGATAAAAGACAAACTCAATAACAGAAAGGCACTAAGGGAAGACCCATCCCCTGGGAGTTTATTTCAGTGTGGTTGCACTTTCCATAGTCCACTCAAAGCTGTCTCCATCAATGGCTCAAATGGCTCACTCTCTAGAACAGAACTCTCATGTATACACCTGGATGATCTCTAACTAGATTCTCAGGGTTCCTCCTTCTAGTCAAGTTTACAGTTAAAATTAACCACCACAGACAAATTTTAAAGACATTGAAATGTGGACCCCAATTCGTCTGAAAATTGATAT